ATGAGTGTTTCCCAAACTTTCTGTAGATGTGAGCTCTGTTTGGACTTACCTTTTTAAGCAGTTCCCAAGGAAACATGTCCTGCTGTACTGCTGGGACTGCTGGCAGTAGCTCAGTTCCTCCTGAAAGTCAGCTGTAATTGTCAGCTGCAGGTGTAAATACTGTCTGTATTGCCCAGGAGGGGCTGAGCTCTGCCAGCAGTTTAAGGCAGTGGTAGTTCCCTTGCTGGGGTAAATCCCTGCAGCAGGGAAGCAGAGCTGCTTCTGACTCCCCTGGAGGAAATGAGCTGCTTCCAGCTGTAAATCAGGGTCATTTGGTTTTATTGTTTTGCCTGTTATTTTTTAATAGCTTAATATTTTAATTAAGTTTTCCCTTACCTGTTTATGACTCCCACCCTTTGAATCTTCCTGTTAGTTCACTGAGAGGTGCAGTTCAGGTATGAGAAACACTGGTTGGTCTGTCCTTTTTTTTTTTTTTAATTATTTTTTAAAGTCACTTGTGGTCAGATGGCAGCATTACCAGAACCTCCACTGTGGCTTGTTACTATCATTCTACCAAATACCAGTTTGCTTTTCATAAATCAACTGATTCACAAGCCCATTATTTTGGCTTAACAGTGAAATTTGATGAAATGAATGACTACTGGCATTAGGTTATTTCTGTTGTTGGGGTGAAGATCTGTACAGCTGAACAAGACTGGAGGATGTGGGATTGTTTTTGTAAACAATTCTTAAAGTCTGCCAGTACTTCCAGTAAAATAAACCTTAGTTTTTCATCCAAGATACTTTAAAGTGATGAGGGAAGAGGGAATGCTAAAAGTTGTAACGTTGAAATTTCAAAATGCAAACAGCTAAGCTTGGTCTCATAGTTGTTTCTCCATTTATTCCTTCATTTTATTTGCTGATATTTCAACACAGTACACAGAAGCTTAGGAGGAAAAGCTGTCAATCCTGAGTGTTGGTTGGCTTGTAAATAAAAGGAGTTCACCTAGTGCAGCGTGCTGGTGAGCACAGGCTGTGGGCTGGCAGAGCCACCTGTGCTCCCTGGCAGCCTGGGACTCACACAGGCTCACAACAGGCTGGAACAGGCATTAAAGATCCAGCTGCTGGTTTGCTGGCCTCTGTTTATTAGTCATATCTCCCCTTGTTTGGTTCCTAAAGAGAGTGCCTGCGTCTGCATTAAGAATGGAACTGAGCTTCTCTTGACAAATGACAAAAGGTGTTGATTTTTCTGCGCGGATCTGTCTCTACCTTCGTTCAGAATGTGGCCAGATACCAGTTTCTGTGTAGGGACAAATGTAAAGAGCCCTCTTTACAATGTAAGTCGTTTCCCTAGAAGGCAGGCTGTCCCATGGAGCTCCTCTCAGTGGGGCAGGGGATGGTCAGGCTGTCTCTTGGTCACAGCTCCTTGGAGTTCTGTGCTCCCAGTTCCCCCTTGGCTCACATCAGTTCTGTTCTGGGCTGCTTCGGGTTTCACTTGCTGAAGGCTCCTGCACTGCTCTGCTAATGTGACCTGGTGTAACTGCTGAATCAAAACTGTCTTGGCTGGCTGAAATGTTTTCATAGGCTTTTTAAAAAGTCATTTTGCTGAGTCTTACCATTATGAAGACTCAGTGTCCTTCTTTTGCCATACTTTGATAGTGAATGATATTTTAATGCATATTTAAGCCTGAATTCTGTCATGTGTTAATTTATCACTGCTTTGCTTGCGTGACAACAAGATTATTCTCCAAGCCAAATTTCAGCGTGGATAGGAATGTATTGAGACTTTGCAGGAGTTCAGCAAGCCTTGGCTGCACGTGTTGGGAATCTGAAGCCTGTATGTGGAAATGGTGCCACCTTATTGTTAGCTGTATGTGTAGAAACAAGCAAAAAATACTGCTTTGGCTTCCACATGGTACACTAGAAAAAGCTGTTCCTACATTCCAGGATTAAGTTATGAAAAATTATTTCAAACTTTTCGGAATTGTCACTCCAGTGAGTTTAAAACAGTTGCTTTCATTGTATGTCATGGTTCTACTACTCATTGCCCCTTCCTTCTCAACGGAGGTCAGTGTTGATGATTTCAGTGTTTTGACTCCCCTTATTTGCTCTGTGTACCCTTAGAATAAACTAAAGAAGTCGTTTCAGTAGGGATGTCATGAAGGGTGATGAATGGTTGCTTAACAATACATACTGACAGAGTTCTGCTGCAACCCGGCTCTCAGTTGTCTTATTTATATAACATTTCTCACGTTGGAGAAGCTAGACAGCCAGCAGAGGTTACAAAAACATTGCAGCTGAGTCCTGTGCCGGGAGTGAAGGCTGCCCTCTGCTCGGGTAGCTTGGACACAGGCAGAGTTATCTGTACCCTACTGGTGATACTGGGCAGAAGCACCCAGAGATAGAGTGGGGGCACCCACTCCATTCACAGCAGCTTTTCTGTTTGGGAACAGCTCAAGTGTTGCAATGGATAGAGAAGCTGAGGGGGTGTTGGCTCCTTAGGATATGTGGGGAATACAGAAATGCAGCTCCTCTGGTTTTGTCCTCATTCTGTAACCTTTCAGAATTGCTAAAACGACTTATAAGATGCTGAAATAGCAGATAGCACAGTTATTTAATTTGCTGGCATGTAAGGGAAGTTAGAACTGTATTTCCTTTAGCTGGTCTCTACCCACAAGTTGTTAGAATAATTAATGAAATGGATATGCAAAAATGCCTGAGGGTGGCAGGACCTCTTTCAGGAGCACGTCCTGGGCACAGAACTTGTACTGGAGCTGTCCAGAATGGTGTCTGGGTGTAAACTGGTGTGTCCCTGCCCTGTGACAGTGAGGTGTGAAGGACAAAGGCAGGGAAATGAGACACTGAGTGGCCCCTAATAAATGTGGCACAGACTTCCATTACAAACTGCATAGGTTGCAATGCCAATGTTTCTAAATGTGTTCTGTGGTATATTTTTTCAATGTTTGGAAAAGCGAGGGACAGTTGAAATTCTTTTTTCCTCTTTAGTGAAAAACATGCTGAAATGCTATACCTTCCCTTTTAATTCCAGACACGTGATTCTCGTAATTAATTCACGTAATTCACTGGATTTAATGGCTTTACCTTCTGAGCTTTGTGTGTTGGTCATCCCCCTGCATCCAACTCTTTCTCTAGGAAATCTCTGTATATTAGTCCTAATTTTTTACTTCTTCACAAGTGATGTTTGCAATGTATTGTACTTCCCTTAAAATAAATGTAGGGAAAATAATGCTGCTGTTTCTCTAATTGGAATGGCATCATCTGTTATAAAACCAAATGCTTCCCTTTGTCATTTGACCTGTGTATTGTTCAAATTTAAAACTCTCTTGTTGTTGACCTGAGATCAGTGCTGTTCATAGAATGTCGGGGGTGGAGGAGACAGAAAAAGGAATAATGTTGTTTTACATGGAGGAAGATGATAGCTCTTTGTAGGTTTTGCTAGAACATTTGATGCTTTTATGGGGTATAAAATATGACATCAAGGGTTTTTGTTCCATTTGCCTCCCAGTCTTCTAGCACTCCTTGTTTCTGCCCAGTTCTAGTGGTGTGTGCTGCCTGCCCCAGCAGTGATGCCTGAAGGAATCCTGCAGTGTGCAGGGTGGCTTTCACTTGGTTGGTTAGTAGGTGTGGGGTAGGATGATGCTTTCAATCTTTCTCTTCCACTGAAGGAAGTCACTTGTGCATCTCCCTTGGTACTCAGCTGTGAGTGGGGAAACCCACAGGTGGGCTTTCTGGGCAGGAGGGGCAGTTGGGAAGGGTTAGTGGCTGTGGGGCAAGTGTGGTTCTCCATTTTCAGTGGCACCTACTGCGTGTTCCAGGGAGTTTGTCACACTGACTGGCACTGGGGGTGCTCACTTCTGTAGCACAGCCAAGCAAACCCCATCATGGGAGCACTTCTTTTGAAATCCATCAGTGCTGGCTCATAGAACAAGGTCTCAGTCTTAAAAAAAATCCAATTGAGGCATTGTGACTGGGTAAAATAGCAGGAAACTACTGACTAACTCTGAAAAGCATCTAAAAGTGCCCGGTGCTGCAGCAGCTGTCAGGGTGAGTGCCCAGCCCAGAGGTCATGGCAGGTGTGTTCCAGGGGTTCAGTGCTGGTTTGCAGTTGGTACTGTGGCCACACTTGCTGATTTGGAGGTTTGGGGAAGGGAGAGAAAAAAAGAAATATCTTTGCACTGTGTATTTATTTTTTATTTTAAAAGAAATTATGTATAACAGATAGAAAGTACTTATGATGAATGTAGTTCTTAACTTAATCTTAGGAATCTGTTGATCAGTGTCTTGAAAGTATTCTCCACGGGAGAGTATTAATCTAAATATCTCTGAAAGTAATTAAATCCAGACTCTCTAGCATATAAGGACTGCTTATTTCATTAGAAATGTAGAAAAATAGGAAGTCATTACTTTAAAAAGTCAGTTGTTAAATTTAACGTGGCCTGCTTTGTATTTAGCATTGAATCTTGCTGTATTTATGTAAAGGGTTTAAAACAAAATTTATGGATTAGATGCAGATTTTCTAGGCAACGATTTTTTTCCTCAAGTCTAAAGCAATTTGCTTTGTTCTAATTTATTTTATTCATTTTGCTACAAAGCAGTTTGTGGCAGCACTTCAGTTACCAGACAATTTTTTTTCATGGATTTATCACTTTTTTCCATGAACACGTAGCTCTGGTTGTAGATGGGTACTGTGGTTTCTGTCTAGGAGAACTTGTTCCCTGCTGAAATACTGAGAAGTACGTCTTTAAACATGACACAGAAAAGCTTTGCCGGTCAAAAGGCCTTAATGTAAGATTTTTTTTGACTTTAAAAGTGGAGAGATTAATCAGTATTCACGTTTATTCTTTATTTTAAATATAATCTATTTTTGTCAAGGAGTTAAACCTGGTGCACCTTGAAATATTGGCATATGAAATCATTGTTCCGTTGCCATTGCAGGAGGTTGTAGAATTATGGAAAGCACAGTCAAGGTATCACCTGAACTGTCACTTAAGTGTCACCCAGAGCAGGATCCGTAGTTAAGTTTGTCACTGTTTGTCTTGAAACACCTGCTGGTAAAAGGTCTGAGGCCTCCCAGCAGGAACTGGTGCTGCAGGTCCACAGGTCCTGAGGATCCTCAGCTCTGAACAGGGTCAGAACACGCTGTGATCTCATGGGATCTGTGTTGTCCTGCAGGTTCTACCCAAAGGAAAACTGAAACTGGAAAAAAGGATGGTTTGCACCTGTAAAACCTAACATGTATCTGTACTGTGGAATTCTGAAGGGATTCCCTGCATGAAAATGCCCAGAAAAAGAGGCCTCACTGGAAAAGTCTTCTCACCAAAGAGAAATCACAGCTTTAAAACGAAAAACCGAAAACTTCAGGTTTTGATTATAACAATAAGCTTACTTGCTCTAGGGTCCTGTTTTCCTAGCTGGATTACATCTCAGGAAGGCATCCAAAAGCAGATACTTTTCACAAAAAAGGACAAAAAAAAAAAAAAAGCTTTACTGAAAACCTGGTTTATTGCTGAGGAACAGCTTCCATGAAAAAATTTTGACTAGCTCTATCTCAAAACTAGGAAAATATAAATTTATTCATTTTTATTCCTGAGGCATCCAGAATTAGGCATTTTTCTCTTTCTGCAATCACAACATACATACCTTGAGAGCAGTCAGTGTAATAGATTTCCTGTCTGGAGTCCAGTTGCTGTGTGTTACTCTTGGATCTGTTGGATAACACAAAGTGTGCTTAATAACAAAGCCTGCCAGTTCCCTTCCCTCTGCTCTTCCCCTCTTGGCAGATTACCAGATTTATGTTGGATTTCTTGGGTCTTTGTTAATTTCTTCTGCCAAAGAATGTGCTCTGATTGCACTGGCTGGAGAGAAGAGAACGCTGAAGGATGAGTTTGGTGCTGCTCTTTGTGAGCAGTGCTGTGTCCCCTGCACCCACGCCCACACCAGCCCTGCTAGATGGGGGGTGCTGCTCATGGAGCCAGGAGCTGGAAGGGACCACAAGGACCATCCAGTCCAACCCCTACCCCTGCCCAGGACACCCCAGCAATCCCACCCTGTCCCTGAGAGTGTTGTCCAAACCCTCCTGGAGCTCTGGCAGCCTTGGGGCTGTGCCCACTGCCCTGGGGAGCCTGGGCAGTGCCAACCGCCCTCTGGGGGAAGAACCTTTCCCTGAGATCCAGTCTAAACCTCCAGTGTCCCAGAGACCTGGGATTGATGACATGGAATGTCAGGCTCCAACTGCAGCACCATCTCCTTCCTATCTGCTTTTGTCAGTTGAACCCGAGGCAGGTGTGATGGGAACACACGGTCACCAGTTCCCTTAGGACAGAACTGGGATATGCCCTTCCAGGGGAAGGCTCAGGTGTCTCAGGGAAAGGTGGTGCAGCTGTGTCAGGAGCAGGGGAGTCTGAGCTAACGGGGCACTTACCATGCAGTTTTGAAGCTTGTTCTGGGCTCCCAAATGTATATGAAATCTTACATATAATTAAAAGAAATTGTTTAAAAAAAAGTTTGTGGAGAGAAATGACACCTAGCAGTAGACCCGTTAATGAGACTGGAACAGCAAGGGAGATTGCAGATGCCCAGCCTTCTCTGCAGGTGTCTAATAGATGTTCTGTGTGCCTGAGATGCTGTTCCCCTTTCCCAGTTATACCCAGTTGCCTGTAAGAGTCGTTCCTGATCTCTGGAAGTTTCTCTCCCGTGTTCCCAGCCTGTGGTCACTGCCATGTTCCCGCTGTGGGGTGTGTGGGGTGTGTGGGGTACAGCTCCAGCCAGGCCATGGATGTTGGTGCAGGAGGCTCCCCCAGCCCCCCTTTGCCTCCTTGAGTAGAAACCCGTCCTTGTAAACTCGGCAGGAACAGCAAAGCCTGGACAAAGCCTTCCCTGGGCTCGGGCAGCTCCGGAGGGCACTGCCAGCTGCGGGCACTCCTTTGTGCTGGCCCCAGAGGGGCAGCCACAGGGGCAGCTGTGTCCCTGCCCAGCCAGAGCCTGCCGTCTGTTCTTCCTCTCACAAACACCAACGGGTGAACATGTTTTGTGTGATTTCAAATCCACTTAAAGTTCATGGGTTTGAAATCAAAACCAGAACTCAAACCTTACGAGGTTTGTGTTCTGTTAGGAGCTGGCCTTTGGCCAGGGCACGTCTGTTCCTTTAACTTTTTATCCCTGGAATCAAATACGTGCCAGTTTGCTGTACCAGGTCACTCGTACTGCTTTAGATTCCCTTCCTTGCATCTTTTACCTCTGTTCCATTGCCTGCATTTCTGGGTGTTAGGAAGTTGTTGCCATGGGTGTTTGCTCTTTCGTGAGCGCAGACTGTGTCTTGCCTCTTTGCCTTGTGTTTCACTGTTTTCAGGGCTCAGTGTTTGCCTTCTGGCCTGTTCCTCTGTGCATTTCAGGCAGTAAACAAAGGATGAAACCCATTCTGTGCGAGGGCTCTATTTTGGATTGTCTAGCTTTGAACATGGACTGAAATAAAGCCCTGACTCCTGTGCCCTGCCGAGGTTTGGTTTCCCCACCCTGGGCTGCCCAGACGGGGAGGTGGCACAGTCACAGCAGCTCTGCAGGGCACAGCAGGATCTTTCCTGCTGCAAATACGTGATTTTTGGGCTTTTTTCTTTAAACCTGCCTCCAGTGCAGATCCCTGTGCTGGTGTGTGTGATGGCAGGTGCATGGAATGCCATGCAGGACATAACAGCTTGCAAATTGACTGAAAAATCTTGTGCAGTGTTGTAGTTGATAGGTTAACTCAGTAGTAGTCTGCTGATTCCATATTGACTTTTTTTCCTTTCGATAGTTGCACCTATTAAAAAAATTAAACTGGGAGGACTTCTATGTATCTATAAACACGAGATGCATGTGTTATTATTTCTTGTTACTGGCATATTGTAGTTAGGAGGCATTTTTAAGAGGTAATATGTTGTTTTAATAAATTATATCCATGCTTTCTTTTGGTGAACAGGAAAGTGTTTATTTTTCAGTATTTTATACTGCGAGGTGATTATGGGAACCTGCTGTGATCGTAGCAGTTCATGTAAATATAATGTCTTTGATCACAATTATCTGTGAATCAGATGCAATTTTCTTGAGTTGATTTGTTTTTTACAGACATCTGATCAAAAGCTTACAAATAACTTGGTCTGTCACTTGTGATACCATCTGAAATAGAGATTATTTCAATTGCAGTGGGAATTTCATGGTGCATATATGTTCTCTGAGTCTGAGTGCAGGAGGTAGGATTTTTGACATCAATGCTTGTGATTATGAACTTTGAATATGCTTGCAGTGTATGTTCTGTATTTTAGCTATTGCTGTTTAAACGAATAAGCTTGCTGTAACTCACTGCAATGTCTCAGGAAGCACTGCCCAGCACATCTGTGGGAGTACTCTTTTTAAACTAGTGTATTGATTATAATATTAGTGATTTTGCTTTAGATTAAAAGAACTGTGAAACTTTTAAGTTTTTATATGGAATCCTTGCATTGGATGTTCATTGTTGAAACCATTCCCTGTTTCTAAAAAGGGATCATAATACCTATTTTACTTCAACCTGAGAAAATAGTGAAAAGCAGTTCCACTTCACTTAAAAAAAAAACAACCAAACCCAAAACAAAGGGAGCTATTACTCTTACAAGGTTGATGGTTGCAGCATTAGGTATTTCATTTGAATACTTTTAAAAATAGATTTAAGCAAAACTGTGCCAATTTTGTATACAGTTGCTTAAGAGTTATATTGGCTGCCATAAGCAGCAGCATCAAAGTATGTGAAGAGCTGAAATTTTAAACAACAGAAAAGGTTAATATTCAGACATCCATTAAAATTTCCACTGGGATTTTCAGTGGCTGTGTTACAGATGAAAAACATTTGGAGATGATCTTATCAACTTATATGGGTTTTCTCAAATGTCAGTGATTTAAGACAATGAAATGGTGGTGGGAGGTGTAACCTAAAAAAATTACATTAACACCACTTTGGGGTTGATGTTTTTCTGCTTTAGCTGTTACTGATGCCCCTTTTTTCCTGTTCTCATTCCCACTGGTGATGTATTGCATGAGAGCTGTGATCACAAATTCCACCTTAACTTTTAGAGGAGGGTTAAGTCGGGTGTTAGGACTTGTAGATGTCTGTACCACCAAAGGCAGATTTCTCCCCATGCTTGGCCCCCCCACCTCCTCTAATGTTTTAGACTTTTACCATGTTTCCTCTAAGGGCTTTGGATCAAAATTGGGATAGAGTTGCTGGGTTTAAATAGCAGATCTCTAATAAGAGCTATTGTTCACTCTCCTGCCTGCTGTTCTGTACCACAGTCTGGGCAGTGGATTGTAGTCAGTAGATGTTATAAATCATGTTATTTGTCCTTTGCCAACTTTGCCCCTTTCTCAAGAAAGAAGCTGCCAGTCCGAATGTTAAAAGACCCTCTGTGAAGAGCAGAAAACTTATGATAGCCTGGAAAAGGGCAAGTGGGGGGAATCAGCAAAAGAATATATAAACTGGGGAGAGTGCACAGCCACTGCTGTTTATTGGGAAGATGGCTCTTGGCTTGATGTGCATACATAAGAGTGATGGATATGGACCCGGGATGAAGTTCATCTCTTTAAATTATGATTAAACAAGCAATTTCAATCACAAATTATGTGTCACCCTGTCTATAATCTGCCCATTCACTTTACAAAGTAAAGGAGGCAGCTGATTAAATTTAGCTGGCGTGGTTTTTTGCTTGCTGTCTAGACAATTGGCCTGGTTCCCATTGCTCTGGTCTCTGCTCTCTCTTGGTTGAAGGCCCACTAGGCCACTTAACCATTCCTGTCCTTTGGACAGTGTGTTCCGAGGCTGACAAAGAGCATGTGGGGCTGGGCTTTCCTTCCTCCTGGGTCATTAGCAGAGAACGTGGGACCAGCCAGGATGCACACCCGGAGGGTGTCCTGTTCCAGTGAGATGGATCAGCTCTGGAGCCAGCTCTTCCTGCCCTGCTGCCCCTGGAGCTTCCATCCCACCTGTCAGCTGCTGGCACTGCAGCAGCAGTGTATGGATTCCATGGGGTCTCCTTCCAGCTGGAGTCTGTACCTACATTAGAGGGCAGTGAAACAAAGGCAAACAAACCCAGACACTGCTCCCCACCCCTTGCCATCGACACCAAACCCATTCTACAAGTGGTTCTCACCTTGAGTGCCTGTCCCCAGGTTCTCTGGGTGTATTGCCCTCTGCATGTACAGACCCAAGGGTACAGGTGTTTCTTACTGGGGCCTACTGCAGCAATATCCTTCCACTCCAAGCTAGTGTTACTGCCCCAGTGCATCTGCTGTGCTGGTTTGTAGCACCCTGAGGGTGCACTGTTCTGTTGTGCTGATCGTTGTTACTCCAGGTTAGACCTGCAGAGGGAGGGATTAGCCAGAGGGGTAGGTAAAGTGGAGCTGGGTTTGGAGTGAACTCAGTGTATGAGCTGATCATTTAACACAAAAAGCACTTGGAAATTTGGGCTGCTCTTACATGCAGGGGATTGGCCTTGTGGTTGGTGCAAACCAGCTGAGATTTGCCTCTGTCAGCAGGGGTTGGTCAGCGCAGTGCTGAGCCCCAGGGTGTCCTGGCACCCTGCCTGCAGGTGGGAATTCTGCTCCTGGCCTTTCCCTAGTACCACTACAGCTCCCTGCACTAAGGGAAGTTCAGTCCAGCCAGCAGGCAGGACTTTGTAGAACGGATACAGGAGGCACTGGAAA